TATGTGTGTGCACGCACATGCACCTGGCCTTAAATAGGTCTCCGCTTGGGCTCTTTTACCCAAATGGATCAATTATCCATCTCTGGCAGCTTCCCAGCACCAGTTGATCCTGGCTTTACCCGAGAGGCGTGGTGGTGAAGCCGGGTTATTGGATGTTGGACGGGAGGTGATGGGTTTTCTCAAAGTGCCAAGCCTCTGTTTACACTGCCAGAACGGGTAGCTTGTTTGTGGCTATTCTTGGCCCAATGGCAGCCTGCCGTTTTGTTGAGGTAGGACTGATGTTCTTTCCCGTGGCTGCTTCCTCTGGAAGGCTGGCACTCCACGGCCACGTCAGCATAACCAATGCTCTGGTTGACTCGGGGGGGGGGGGGGGGGGAGGGAAGGGAAGGGGGATGGAAGGGGGATGTGGCCTTTTCTATCGGATCTCTGTCAGCCCTCGTGCGTCAGTCTGATGTAAAAGAGTGGGTGTTTCCCCCCCCCACTCAACACACACACACACACACACACACACACACACACCAACCTACCTCTCCTCTCCTTGTGTGTGGCTCCCTCACCCTAGGCTTTCTGCTGGTCGTCTCCTCCCTTCACTCTTGAAGTCAGTGCACACATAGGGTGGATAAACAATGGCATATTGAATGCTAATGTGTTTAATCAGTTTTCCAGTTAGTCTGCATTGGCGGCACTAACTTAAATTGCCTCAATAAGTCATCACGCAGGTGCACGCCGGCACTTGGCATATGCACAACATCATTTATTAGTCTTAAAAGGGAGTAGAGTTAACCGTACGACACTTTGAACTCCCACTCAAATGATATTGTAATCTGAAATCAATGAGGGCTGAGCCAGTGTGACTGCCTTCATCAGGCTGAGCGCTCCCATGCTCCCTGAATTGAGGTTTTGTCCTTGCCCACCTTTTGTTCTGACTGAGGCAGTGAGTCACTTCTCCACCTATCAGTGTGTGGCTCAGTAGAGGGGCTTCAAAGCGTTCTGCCCTTTTGATACCAGAATAATAGCTCTATCTGCTATCTGTCTTTTCCAATGAAGTTTATGACAGGTAGACCAAGGCACCATATCTATTTTATTTTAAGATCGTTTAAACCAACATAAAGTAATAAATGGTGAGGCTGCCTGTCTGGCAGTAGAGTGAAGAGAACAGTGGAAAGAAGTGCTTCTGTTCGGTTTGGGTGTTTGTTGGTCAGTATGTTTTCTGGACAAATGGTTCAGTTCCTTCATGAAACCCTATTGGGATCTTAGGAGCAGATCTGATCACAAACCCTTTACATGCATTATACACATTAAACCTGTTTTTTGTGATTCCATTTGTTTGTTATATTCATGAAAAGGGATACATGCAATATAAAGAAATGCACAAAAATATCTAGAGGAATGTCTAAAAGCATGTATACTGCTTTTTCAATGCCTGTCCCTAAAGGCCCTGTCACACTGTCCCGAAATTGACACCCGATGGACACACAATAAAGGAAATGTTCAAATTCGGCTGTGATCGTAGCAACATCGGGCCATTCGTGAGGGCATCTAAGCCATCGTATGACCGCCGGTGGAGTTTCTCAGGCTCCGGCAGCAACTTCGTGAGCGGCAACTTCGTAAGGCACTCGTGAGGGCATCTTGTCAAATCGTGTCATCTTCGTGTTATCATCGGTGCATTCGCCCTCACTCTGATCGGGGCGAATGCCCGATGGCACCGATGATAACAAGATGCTTACGAAGGGCAAAATTGACACACGAATTCAACACGAAAATGAACCTTCGCAAGGTCCTTCGGCTATTTTTTGGCATGCCAAAGATTTTGCCACCGCTCACGAAGTTGCTGCCGGAGCCTGAGAAACTCCACCGGCGGTCATACAATGGCTTAAGATGCCCTCACGAATGGCCCGATGTTGCTACGATCACAGCCGAATTTGAACATTTCCTTTATCGTGTGTCCATCGGGTTGTTTTATTGCACAACAAAATCATGTAAACATATTATGTAAATAACCCAATTTGTGTTCTGTGAAACTAAAAAGGATATAATATATTATTTTGAAGGAGAGTTGACAGAAGTTGTTGTTGTTATGGAAACAACATTACGGAGAAAACGTAATATTTTCTACATATAAAGACGGATAAAGTAAAGAACAAAGTCTGAAGATATCAGTACAGTATCATAGTACTGTAACATAATTGTTTTTGGTACTTTCATTGCAGTTGTATGTCTTAAATGTAATGTAAATGTTGCCTTCGAGTGTGGTTCGGGGCCATCTTCGTGCGAAATTCACAATTCCATATTCGTGTGTCCATCGGGTGTCAATTTCGGGACAGTGTGACTGGGGCTTAAGGGGCCTTTAACATTACAAATATAAAATATGTGCACAGACTGAAAAGTTAAACTGTCATACATTTGTGTTAACCTTTTATAGGAACGGGAGTAGGACTTGCCGGCTTAGTTGTATATTCAGTATATACATATATTTATACAGACACACTTCATACAAAAGTAACCATAAATTAACTGCTCCTTACAAATACTAATAATGGGCTGCGTTACATTATAATGACAGCATTTCTGATCAGCACTGTTAACACAATTCGAAAAACTACCGTACCACAAATCTAGTGAGCAACTACGAAAGGGCAGCAGTGTAGTAAAATATGCTACTTACCTTGAAATGTATTGAAGGTTTTCTGGTTCGCACAACAAAAAGCACCTTTCACCTGCTGCTCTTTTCATGAACAAATGCTATTATATGCTCAGTGCATGGCAGCATTAAAGCATGTAAGGAAAGCCAGCTTAGAATTTCAGCAGTGTATCATAACTGTATCAAACAAAACCTATTCTCTTAATTGCAAACCCACCCTGTTTCTGCATGTGGTTGTTGAGTGGCACAGTGATTGTACAGTTTATTAGGTTCACCTACTGTAGCTAAACTAATGCCATACAATCGCTCTAACAACTTGAGGTGTTTCTAATATTTAGTCTAAGGTTGGACTTAATATAAGTACAATCAAACCAGAAACACCTTAAACTTCAACCTCATAAAAAGACCAGTAAAAAAAACAGTTTGAACCATAACTGAACTTTATTACCTTCATAAAGGCTCAGTAGGATTTATTGCAGGTCTGTTGTGTTGGACAATATTAGCTTTCACTAGGTTTGCTTAACAAACTGCCAACGGTCCATATATCATCAGTCCCTTGTTGTTTCTCGGAGAGGTGGAGTCTGGACTTCAGCACCTGGGGAGGAGGGGCCAGAGGTTAGAAATGGGAGGTGTCAGTGTGTCATTACAAAGCCAGCCTCTGTAGTCGTGGGTCCAATATGGCTGCTCATTTAAAAGCGCCGTCTCGCTGCCTACACCAGCTTTGACAAAATGAAGGAAAACTCTTCCTCGAGCAGGCTGCCGGGAGGTCAGTGTGTGTTGTGGATCTTCTTTTGCTCCCCCGCATGACATCTGGCGTTGGGGCCACAGTGTTTATGTCTTAGGTTTGTAAGGGGAGAAATGTGCGAATGTGCAAACTTGGCGCCGTGGTCCCTCTCCCTTATTCTCTCTTCGGCTTTCTGCTGAGCTGTCACTTCTCTGAGCTGAGCTAAGCCGGTGCACTTTTCCCTACAACACAGCCACGCAGGAATCTTTGTTGTTCCTCAGCACTTTTATAAAGTGCTCTTCATGCCTTGCCAGTTCTTTTTAAAAATGCATTTCTGTGCCTTTTCCAACTCATAGGTTTAGAAATTAATACAATAGGAAATTAAGGCTGGTTTTTAACTAAATGGATGGCTCTAGTAAAAATCAGCCATGTGTAATATGCAATAGCTTGCAAGATGGAAGTTATAACGCCTGTCCTGGGTTGCAGGTAAATACAACGTATTATCTATATGAGTGACTTAAAAAGGTTCTATAGCTCGCTGGCATGGTTAGGAAGGGAAAAAAGAGTCTGATTTATAAAAAAAAAAAAAGAGAGACTTGCATAATGTTGCTATTTTAATTTATCTTTTTATTCAGTGGGACTTTATGAATACCTTTTTTAAGATTTAATGAAGATTTTAATATTATGTTATTGTACGTTCATGCGTTTGTAGGGTTGGGAACCGAAACTCTGTTCCAGATGAGAACCGATAAGAAAATGCCGGGTACCCATACAAAATACACAATTTTGGTTCTGCTTAACGGTTCTGCTTAACGGTTCCTAAACGCGGTAGACCCTGTATTCCAGTGGGTCCGTCTGCGCCGCGGTGACCCGGTGGAATACAGGGCGGACCTGGAGAATCACAGAACGGCCAGTCGTCAGCGGGCCGTTGACGGCCGGCTCGGTACGCTGAAGGCCGGCACCGCCCTTAATAACGGCATCATATAAATTGCGCTGACAGGCGACAGAGGTCCACAGTTGCCCCGCAGCGAGGCTCCCCCCGCCCTCCCGTAGACATTTCACGAGCTCAGTCACTTCATTACACCAAAGATGGGTCGCGGTAAATGCTCTGAAGTGAGGCTCCACTACACTAAAAAAGAAAAAGACAAGGCACAGTGTAATGCCTGTTAATAGCTTGCCACAGGCATAGCTCAGTTAAAATAAAGCAGCTATTGTGCAATACATTTGTATTGCATGTATATTTTTTATTTGTAAAAATGTCAGTTAAAACTTAAAAGAATAAAGATATTTTTGTTATCTAAACGTTTGACCTCTTTCTTTTACAATTTTGGAACCGAAACGGGGAATCGATAAGAACCGGAATCGACAAGCAGAACCGGAATCGGAATCGATACATTTCAAACGAAAACCATCACTATGCGTTTGTGTGTGTGAGATAATTTGTTGGCATAAACAATTTGGTTTGATATGAAAACAGTTTTTGCTGTGGGTCCCAGGCTAAAGCTTGTATGACTTGGGTCAGACTACAAATGTATACCTTGTTCCCTGCTCTAATATTTGCAGCATATTAACCATAAATGAAACTGCTGTTTGCCCTGAGGGAAGCTGATCTCACCCTTTTTTCTTTCTTCGCAGGTCCTGCTCAGGTTCCCATGATGTCTCCAAATGGTTCAGTGCCTCCAATCTATGTGCCTCCTGGATACGTTTCACAGGTTTTCATTCTAAACTATTTCTAGCACAATGTGTGCCGATTGGCATCTTGTGGAACTCTGAGCAGCTTCATGATATCTTCTCTGTGTGTTTCCTCTCAGATCATAGAAGAAAACGGAGTGCGGCGGGTTCTGGTCTTACCCCAGCAACCAGAGTTCCACCCAGGGGGCCACTCCCCCCTCCACCACCCTCCACCTCCACCCCATGCCCACCTGCCTGCCTTCATCCCACACCCTGCCATGATGCCCCCGCCGCCCCACTTGTACACGGGCATGGGAGGGGGGGTGGGCGACATGAGCTCTCAGTACATCTCCCAGTACCATCCAGCTCATATCTACTCGGAGCAGGGTGAGTTGGAGCCCGCTGTATTGTTTTATTGTTGATGAATGTTTTGGTTTAATTATATGTATTTGTCCCATCACTTCATTTGCACAGTGGAGTTATGCAATCAAGGCTTTATTTACTATCTCAGTTTCTTAATCTAAGTGTTTACCTCAGTATGCCTTTTTATAAACCCCTTTCCCAACAGAATAAGTGCGTTGATAAAATATTTTGAAACACAGAAAAATCTGCTAAAACCTGGCGAGGAGTATGCATTTCTGTTTAGTTAACTGTAGAAACTATTTGGTTGGTAACAATTTTTTATATCTGTTACTTATCCATTTCACTTTAAACTGTCAAACCAGAGTTTATGATTGTTTGTGGAAAAGACTAAACCAAGACGATTTTGATTTTTTTAAATTGTGTTTCTCATGAGTTCTGTTTTTTTACGGTGATCAGCGAGGTAAAATTACCACTGTCTGACTGGAGTCTGGTGTCTCCATATTAATTAGTTTTTTATGTAAATGAATTGTCCAAATGCCTATTGTTCTTATTCATTAAATATTATCTTCAACTCACATCACTTAGAAATATAGCATGTCCACCCTTGTGTCAGTCGGAGCTCGAACTGCTATATTTGACTCTGACCGCTGCAGTGTCATTCCTTCCGGAAATGAATTCTGTTTGTAACCTTTCCCACTGAAGCTACTGTTATAAGGGTGTTATTTTGTCAAATGGGAAAAGGGGATTTGGTAACCTGCGAGGTTTGACCTTATCCTCTGGCTATCAGTCTTTTTTCTACTCCTGTGTGTTTGTACAAACTCACAACTGTTGTCTTTTTGTCCTTCAGTCTCTTCAGATTCTCACCCCCAACATGGACGCCCGCTGTTTTCTCACAGAGACGACAGAACTAGCAAAACGTACGAGCGTCTGCAGAAGAAACTGAAGGACCGTCAGGGATGTGGAGGGGGAGGGCAGGTCAAGGACAGCCCTCCCTCCTCGCCGCAGAAAACTCGCAGCAGCCCCCTGACCGTGGACATTCACAACGGCGTCGGAGGGAAAGCGCTGGAGGCGGAGCAGGGACCGCTCAGCCATGCAGTGGCCGGGCCCGACAAACAGAGAGGCAGGGGGAGACATGGAGAGTCAGGAGGTAAGGAAGTGAAAGGGAAGATGTTTTTTAGGTTTAAAACTAGGCTGACGCACAATGTTCAAAGCATTTCCCGGATATTAATAGTGTGTTGTGTTGGCGCTGACATTGTGCCTCCTTAGCTGCTGCAGTTGGTGGCAGTGAGGGAACAGCAACACAACATTTCATGAAACATTATTTCATCTTATGGCCTCATGAATGTTATGGAATCCCTGCATGGAAGGTGAACAAATATTTGTACGGGGTTAATGTCGGCCAAAACCAAAGTTATACAAGTATCTCTAAATAGTACGTTATCTTTTTTAATAGAATACACTTAATCTTCCATGGTTTCTAAAACAAATTTAAGCACAGGAATTATTAATCTTGCAAATTTACGGCGAAAATTGCCAGGACAGTGTGTGTTCCTTGGAGTCAGTTTGCCTTGCGGAAAGAAAAAAAAAGACTCCCATTAAATTGGTTCAGGCTGGCAAAATGGTTCATCTCTATAACTCGCTCAATAGGGCTTACATACTTGCTGAGATTTAGTGGAAAATAAAAATGCCTAAAACAGCCTGCCCAAACAGCCTCGACAATGTAGGATGTTTTCAAATAATTCTGTCATTTTATTTTACTTTTAAAAGTTAAAGGGGACCTATCATGCAAAATGCACTTTTTGATGTCTTTTATACATAAATATTTGTCCCCGGTGTGTCGGGGAAACTCACGCAGCGTCAGAAAATAAAACCCTCTCTCTTTTCCTCCGTACCCAAATCTCTAAAAACGGGGCTACAACGGAGCTGATCCAGATTTGCATCCGATATGATGTAATATCGGAAATGTAGGCTGGCTTTACACCACGGCCCAATCAGAAACGTTGCTATCAGAAACAATGCCCGACTGTTTTGGACGTAATATGGTCGGTGTTTACATTAGCATCGCTAACACTCAGAAGCAGGAAATAAAAAGGAACTCACCTTGTGGTGAGCCTTTGACCTCCATACTGTTTCAGACATAATCCTTGATAATCCATGATATGGCGTTTCATCACCGCAGTATCTGCAGGTAGCATGTCCCGCATGAGCTCAGCCCCCTCCTTTTTTTAAATTTTTTTTTAATTTTTTTATAAAGCTTTATACCCAAAATCAGCACTTTTGAAACAGGAAGTGAAATAGAGGGATATGAGGCATGGCTAGAATGGGTGATCTGTTTTTTGGAGCAAAACACTTCCTAGACATGTTTTTTATATATTTTGTATATATCTGACCTATGCTATTGCCTAAAAATAGCATGATAGGTCCACTTTAAAGTACAGCGATTGCATCCTATCAGAGATGGCCAAACAAATGTACATAATTAGCGATGAACTACTCTGTGAACATGGAAATGACTATGACTGGCAGCAACCCACTCATGATTGCATCATTTATTTTAACTGCATTGAATTTGATTCTGATGAGGCTTCTGAGAGAAACACCATGACCATACTGATGTGTAATTTTGAATTTATGAACCCATTTTGAGAGCTTTGAAGTTTAACGACTGACACTTAAACGTTACATTTCCTCTTCAAAAGTGATTATCAAACAAAAGTTATACCACCAGTTAACATTATGGATAGATGGTGTGCAGTTAAACCTGTGACTACACTGTCTTAGAAGCACACAGACATGACGTTTTGGCATGACATTTTACAATAGCAAGATAGATTTTACATTTCCATTAACAAGAATAAGTCGGTATATCAATTTCTTGTTCAAAACATGCACTTCATTTGCCACAATCCTTCGTGAATCCTAATTTCATATTGATTTTATTAAGATGGAGGTGTTTTCTAACCATATTTACATGTTTTTCTCTCCTCAGAGCTGGATGAGGAAGCTCAAGCCCTGCAAGCGCTCCTGAGTACCATCAGTACACCAGTGGTTAGTATTCAGTTCTGCTTTCTTAGTTTATTGTTTTTCTTCATCTTAATGCAATTTGCATGATTTTCTGTGACTCTATTAGCGCTGTGTTTATAAGAAACCCTTTAATGATGCAAATGTGTTGCATCATTAAACATTCTATTAACATCCATGATGAATTCTTGCTGACATCTTCCTAATGGAGTTAGACCTGCTGACTAGCATCCATGTGGGGATGTATATTCCCAAATGTGGCAGCAAACAATTCCGCTAACAGTTAATCAAAGCTTGAGATCTTCTTCGCAGGATTTTTAACTAAACAATTACCAAGCCATCCCATCCTCATGGCACCATGCTTGGTGGATTGTAGACAACACTTTAAATTACACCACACATATAGAATGACATTATGGTTGTTGTTTTTTTTACTGCTTTGCTGGTTTTCAAGTTTGTTTCTTCATTTATGTGAAACCTTATGCTGCTTTTCTTGGCCCAGACTCCCTTGTTAAAGTGATTATAAATCTCAATAGCAGAATCCCTGGAAAAATATAGGTTAAATACACAATTACATTGAACTAAAGGAAATAATCAGATAGAAATATACGTGGATGCTAAAGTCCTTTTCTCTTCAGTGAAATTCTCCTTGCAAACCCTGGTTTAGAGTTCTGGGCTTTCAGCAGACATGTGGATACATAAAGAGTTGAATAGCTGTTTTAAGAGCAGCTGGTTGGGAGAAATAGAGCTTCCTTGACCTCCATATAAGATGTCATACACTGTCGCTAAGTTCTGCTTGTAAAAGTAGCAAAACAAGTCTAGGAGTAAGCTAGATACAGACTTGACCTGATTGAGTGCTTCTTCATATGAATCCTCCCTGCTGTTTAGCTCAGGCTATTTATAAATCCCCTCGAAACAGAATGACAAATCTTAGGGTTCCCTGCCAAGCGCCTGAAACCTTTTCCCAAAATGGCATCGGCCTATAATGTTTTAATGAGTTGTTCTCTAACAAGTTATGTGAATACATTCTCTTGAATAGTTTACACAGGTCTGACATGACCCTCTTTTCACTTTGGTAGAGGAAGTAACAGTTTTGTAAAAGAGTGTATTTGAGGATGTGGCAGGTGTCGTGGTTTGAGTACTAAAAGCATTTGTTGTGTAGGTTTGATGGTGTTATCAAGACTCACATCTGTCTTTCATGATATGATAGGTGTCAGACATCCAGGGCAGAGGAGTGGTTGTGAGCTGGAGTGCGCCCGCCAGGCCAGAGAGTGACAACGGCAGTGTGGAGGACGACTGCAGCCCCACGGAGCCCCTCAGCTATGAGGTCTCCATCTCATTTAGCGGCAAAGATGGAAAATACAACAGCATGTACTGGTGAGCACTAGCAGCAGGATGCTACAACATTCCCAATTCTCACACAAGGTTTTACAACGCTGAATAAAACATATTTCTGTTTTGCTTTTGTTGCAGCGGGGAAGAAATAAGTGCTACTTTAGAAGACCTTCGACCAGCAACAGACTATCATGTCAGGTTGGCCTAACCCTCTGCCTGCTTTTGTTTGAACTACAGTGCACGGGGGAACAGTTTGTAAACACTTTGTCCATCTCTCCTCAGGGTCCAGGCCATGTGTAACTGTTTACAGGGAAGCCCGTCGGAGGCTGTGAACTTCACCACTCTGAGCTCAGAGCCGGATCTTCCCAATGCTCCCAGGAAGGCCAGTGGGACCAAGAACACACTCGTACTCCAGTGGAAGGTGATAACAAGTCGGAAATGATTGATGGAGCGGGGATTTAGAACCACAGTTTCAGGGGAAGCAAGAAACAGATGGGCCAAACATTTAGACCATGGGATCTTTAGAGAACAATAATAATATCTTGGTGTGGCAATAAAGCTCCTTTTTAGATGTGTGATTCCTGCCACACACATATACATGTCATCCTAAGTAGCCATATGATTAGAGATTTTGAGTGTTTTACAAAACCACCACCAAGTCAACATCCACACACTTGCAGGGGGAAAGTAAGTGAAATAAAGTGATTCAGAAATAATCCCCTCTTCCTCAACTTTACCTTCTGTAGCTTCATTTAAGTTGCTCTGTTTGCTCGCAGTAAAAGGTAGTGCTTCCACAGATCACCTCCCAGGTGTGAGTGTAAATGTGTGAGACTTCAGCGAGGCACTTCAAGGACAACCATGCATGCTCAGCAAACTTCACCGAATTAATTAAACCATAGAAGAGTGTGCACACCTGGATGCACCTTATTTGTTATTAGTAAGGCTGAATTGCCTGCTTGTAATTAGTGGCAGTAATAGGAAATGTTTAGCACACAATTTTGAATGAAGGGTGGTGAGGCTTAGCTGTCCAAACACTTTAGTACAGCAATGAAGTGCATTTATTTGTTTTCCTTGTGTGTACGAGGTAATTATGTCAGCATTTTTGTTAATGTACTATGTCAAATGCCTATTTATCTTATTGAGTCAAACTTATCTTGAGTCATCTTGTTTTATTTATCTGATTATAGTGAACATTTACGTTTATCTTGTCTAGGCAAAACCATTTTACTCAAACTTATCACGTAAGATTTGAATCTTATCAAATTCTGATGAGAAATCGAAAAAGAGAAAGCAAGAGGGAGAGACAGAGAGGGAGTATGGCGACATTTCTTTCTCGCCTTTTGTTGATTTTCTTAGTGTTAATGTTTAAAGAGGCCCTATTATGGTCTTTGCCTGTAGTGTGTTATATAGGTTTGTGTGCATGTAAATGGTCTGCAAAGACTAAAATCCCAAAGTCTCTTTGCCACACCCTCTGCCTCCATTAGACTCCTTTGTTTAGTTCTGTAACAAAGGGACATCACTATGTAACACCTGCGCTTCTATTGGCTAGCGCTCCAACACATTACATGATAGGCTAAGGGCTGGGACATCTTTAAGCGGTTGACCAATCACAACAGAGCTGGCTAGCTAGCCAATCAGAGCAGACTGGGCTCTGGTTTCAGGGTGAAAAGAGGTGCTGCAGCAGTATAAGAGAAATAAAGACAAAATACAAACATGAACCTGAAAATGAGCAGAATATGTCCTCTTTAATGTCTTTGTTGCTGTCTCGTCATTGACTTACTTGTTGAATAAAAGCATATTGACGAGGATATTGGGTCATAGTGTAAATTAAAGAAATGCATTCATCAAAGGGGGACAAACGTGGCATTGGTGTGTATTTTCTACGTGTACGTCTTCAATATAATCTCTATATTTAACCAAACTATGCATTGTCTATCTACAGCCTCCATGTGACAACGGTTCCAAAATCCAAAACTACGTTCTTCAATGGGATGAGGTAAAACGTTTGACACCTGTTGTATGTGCTTCGGAGATGTAGATGAAGTCACTTGTCCTTAAAGCTAATCATGCTGTTCTCTGCAGGGGAAGGGCACTGGCATCTACGAGCAGTGCTACTATGGACCTCAGAAGCAGTACAGAGTGACCAAGCTCTCCCCGGCTTCAAGATACTCCTTCCGCCTTGCAGCTAAGAATGACATGGGTGCAAGGTAGGCACACCAGATGATGCTCAATTATTGCCTGTATGGTGCCCTCCCTTGTTGTCCGTTTTTATGTTACTGTTTCTTCCATTCACTGTCGCCATCTGTGTGTGCATGTGTGTCTCTCACTCTGTTTCTCCTGTCTCTCTCTCCCATTGTCTCCCGCCCTCTGTCTCTCTCTGTCCTCCCCAGCGAGTTCAGTGAAGTGGTGGACCTGTTCACCTCATGCAGTGTGCCATTACCACCCTTCCCTCCAGAGCTGGAGATGGCAGGGGTGACCTGGCTGTGTATGAAGTGGCAGAGGCCCACTAGCTCTCCCAAGGAGGATGACATCTACTATGTTTTGGAGATGGAGGAGGAAGGCTCGGTATGTCTCTCACTCTTTTTTTTTTCTTCTTTTTAAAAAAAAAATGGAAACGTCTGCTTATCTGAGATTGATAGTGAGTTTTTTATGTAAGATTTAAGACAAATTGTGAGATGCTGCAGACTTCTTAGATTGCAGCATTGCACTCAGACAGCATGAAATAAAGTTGCTCTGTTTGCTCGCAGTAAAAGGTAGTGCTTCCACAGATCACCTCCCAGGTGTGAGTGTAAATGTGTGAGACTTCAGCGAGGCACTTCAAGGACAACCATGCATGCTCAGCAAACTTCACCGAATTAATTAAACCATAGAAGAGTGTGCACACCTGGATGCACCTTATTTGTTATTAGTAAGGCTGAATTGCCTGCTTGTAATTAGTGGCAGTAATAGGAAATGTTTAGCACACCATTTTGAATGAAGGGTGGTGAGGCTTAGCTGTCCAAACACTTTAGTACAGCAATGAAGTGCATTTATTTTTTTTCCTTGTGTGTACGAGGTAATTCTGTCAGCATTTTTGTTAATGTACTATGTCAAATGCCTATTTATCTTATTGAGTCAAACTTATCTTGAGTCATCTTGGTTTATTTATCTGATTATAGTGAACATTTATGTTTATCTTGTCTAGGCAAAACCATTTTACTCAAACTTATCACGTAAGATTTGAATCTTATCAAATTCTGATGAGAAATCGAGAAAGAGAAAGCAAGAGACAGAGAGGGAGTATGGCGACATTTCTTTCTCGCCTTTTGTTGATTTTCTTAGTGTATGTATGCCATTTTTTACATTTATAATCCATTTAGACAATGTTTACTTGGATTTGTACATCCATTTTCCTGGTTGTTGTGCATCTCTGTTGAGCAGCTTGTTGTTTTTGTTGGTGCTTTTCATTTCAACCCAGCCAAGGGAAATCAAATTAACTTTTTCTGCAATGTGTGTGAAATTAATAATAACTTTTTTGTATGCACATGTCCTGCCCCGAAAGTGCTTGACAAGACAAGATCAGAAAAAAACTGTAGAAATCTGAATAATCTTGTCACAATACAACAACAAATTAATAATGTTATAATAAAAAGACAGGTTTTTGATTTTGAAAAATACTTTGAAGACACTCTTCTGTCTGATTTAAGTGGAAGATCTCACTGCTACTGTCCCCTGTGTCCGCCTCAAGAAGCTACCTGCAGACACGCTGCCTGCCAGGGAAAACACACAAACCTTCCCCTCTCCCCTGTAGCTATTTGTCTGCTGCACACCACTTTATTTCCTGTGCTACAATGGTTGTCTTGTAAGTCATAGCTCACTTGGTTGTTTTCCTCCTCTCTCTGCCGTCTGTCTGTGTCTCAGGGATATGGCTTCCAGCCAAGCTACGACGGAGACGAGCTCTCCTGCACCGTCAAGAATCTCCACAGAAGTACCAAGTACAAGTTCAGGGTAAGAGGGTCCTGTGATGTTTTCAGTCAAAGCTGGTGATCCGCAGGTTTAATGTAGGCTGCCGTGTGGAGTGTGTTACTGTGGAGGGGACAGGCTTCAGGCAGTGGGGGGTGCTGAGGCCCACAGTGGCCCTATGACTCATCAATTTGCAGTATTCTGCCAGCAGGGCGGTGGGCATCTGACAGCATCAACAGGAGGAATCTGCTGCTCATCACATGCGGGGCCCCCAGTGAGAAAATGGTCAAACAAAGTGTTTCAGCAAAAGGCTTTTTGGCTGGCAGTAAAGTGACCAATGGACTTACAAGTGACTTTCTCTCCATGTCACTGTATTTCTCTATTGAGTATATCCATAAAATAAGTCGCTTACTCAGAGTCCTTCCGTTGACTCAATGATAGAAGAGGAATCCCAAAAGGAAAAAGTCATATGTTGTATTGCCTGTGTGCAGCGTCTGGGCACCACAGATGTTGGGAAAAGCAGAAAGCAGCCCCACAGAATTCCTAATCATTACATTGTCAGAAGGGTGTTGTTGTTCCCAAACACAACCACCATATGCCCAAGTGATAGAAACGTTCATTAGTCACTCTCAAGACTCCTCTTCCTCCCTCATTTCCAATTACCCAGCTGCGCAGTGTGAGCGGGGGCTGCTGCTGTGCAGGTTTGTCTTGGTGCACTTTTTGGATGAGCTGTACTCAGCAGGCTCTCAGAGATTTCTGTATTATTGCACTGAAATGCAAATGGCACAAAGCTTTTTGCCTCATGTTTTTTTATTCTAAGTGCAAAGCTTGTGGAGTCTTGATAAGTTGATTTAAGTAGGTGAATCTTTTTAATAAGATGGTTTTTGTCTAGGTGTCACGATCTGTCTGTTTTATTTTGTCCTCCTGTCTAGATCAGTCTTTGTTTTCCTGTTTTAGTTTGAAAAGTGTTCACCCCCCCCCCCCCGTCTTGTCTGTTGCTTCCTGTCTCTGTTCCCTCCTGCCTGATTACCCGATTGTGTTCACCTTGTGCCCCTGTGTTTTCTCCTCCCTCCTCACCTATGTTTTGTTTGTTTGATTAGTCCTGTGTGCATTTAGGTACTGCTTTTTCGGTTAGTCTTTGTGAGCTTCTTGATGTTGCTGGAAGGATTTTGTTCTGAGGGATTTCTACGTTTTGCCTTGCCTTATTTGCCTGGCCTAGTTCCGCAATAAAAGTATTTTGGTTTTCAAACAATATTCTGCATTTGGGTCCTGTGTACCTTGCCCTCCAGCCGTAACACTAGGTCCATTTTAGTTGCAGGTAGAGACGCTTGGTATATATCAGGAAATGTACCGAAAGTAAGTTCCCACTAACGTAGCTCTATTATGCTTTTTGATGCTTTTTTTTACAAAGGCTTAAATCCCAAAATGTTCCCTCCCACACACAGTCACCACCCCCCACCCCGTCTGAAATGCCTCTGTTGTCCTTGGTTAAATTAAGCAACATAGTGACATCACTATGTAACACTTGCGCTTCTATTGGCTAGCGCTGTGGCTAAGGGGTGGGACATCTCTTAGCAGTTAAACAATCACAACAGAGCAGACTGGGCTCTGGTTTCAGACAGAGGGTGAAAAGAGGTGCTGCAGTATACAGGCAGTATGAGAAAAATAAAGAGCTTTTTGAACATGAAAGCATGTAAACATGTAAAAGTAGCGGCATTATAATTATGCAACCTGAAAATGAGCATAATAGGGCCCCTTTAATGTTATGACTCTTCACTGTTTCTTGCACTTTCTCTAGGTGGCAGCATACAACTCAGAGGGGAAAAGTAACCCCAGCCCAGTGGTGGAGTTCATCACTAACCCAGACAGACCTGGCAGCCCCTGCAGGCCTGTCATCAGAGGCAGAGTCATGCCCAACAGCTTCAAGATGACCTGGGGTAACTATTTTTCTCCTTGCCTTACTCCTCAGTCTTTCATGTGTTTAACAGCCTGACAAGGCCAGTCTACTATTTAATTTTTCTCATTCAGCTCTGCCTCCAAATATATGCATCTTCTAGAGACGGAAGACATTCCTAGTAGTCTGTACAGTACATGACTGACGGTCCTCTCCTTCATTTAGACATCAGCATGAATCCTTCCTGTTCACCTCACTGGACAAATGCATCACTCACTGCTCTACTGCTTCCAGTTTTTAGAATGAAAAATAAATAAAACACAGCGTCTGCAGCTCTGAAAAGATTTGCTGCATCTGAAATAGCATACCAGGCACCACATACTCAATCGTATAGCCTACTTCTGTGTAAATAAACGGAGGTTTTCATCATTTTGGACACAATGAAGTGTGATTATGAAGTGACTTCCTGAGAGCATCCTTATAGGGTTGGAGACATGTATCCATGGAAACCCAAGTTAATCTCAACCATACCGTTACCTGCAGTAGCCAAAAGCAGGCATAATAAACCACAGTTTTTGTTTTTCTTCACATCCATAGGAATACATCATCTGTTAGAATATGCAAACAGGCACACTTGTTGTGTATCTCGACAAGAGCTCCCCTGTGGCTGTCTTTTTAAAAATACTTAATCTTTATTTCAAAACTCTTAATGTACATAATAACAAATAAAATAAAAACCTTATGTAAAATAAAGTCATGATGCCTTTACTCACTGTCTGCCATTGACTGATATGAACGTTTTCGTCACTATTGCATTATGGGATATAAATGCCAGTGTAGTGTCCAGTATTTGCATACTGTAATATTTCACTGGGAATAGTATGCAATTTGAGTACTATTGGTTACTAGAGGTTTATAAAAAAATAAATAAAAAAATGTCCTACTATATTAGCATACTAAATAGCATGTTAGCGTTGATATTTCGCAGCCATTTCTCTGTTTCCAACAAAATGTGGTTTTAAAGAAAATTAAGGTTTGAAAAAGCAACGATGTAATTATGTCTTTCTTATATGATGAAGCAAGTTCCTCTTTTATGTCCTTAGTTCACGGCAGCTCTATAACAATCTGTCTTTGCAATGTAGAACCCCCGAAAGAAAGCGGCGGAGCAGAAATCACTAAGTATGTCGTGGAGCTGTCTGAGGGCTTAAGCGGTAAGTTGCAAAGGGTGATCATAAAAGTGTTTAAGCATTTAAGTTGAAATGATGTTTTTAAAACATGAGTTTATTTAAATAATTGAATGTATTTGCAATGTGTTTATATTTAGGCCTTTCGTGGGAGCTGATGTACTCGGGGCCAGCTGTGGAGCATGTGTGTGAAGGCTTGAAGCCGGGCTGCTCCTACCAGACCCGAGTTTACTGCATGAGCGAGGGAGGGCAGAGCCCGGTGAGTCATTCAGCATCAGCACACGTGCACACACAGTCGCGACCTTGTGTTTTGCCACAGGAATTCTCAGAGTTTGCTGATCAGTTACGACTTTCTTTGACCGCAGGTAGAAAAGAGTCACATGTTGCTCTGGCTTTTTTCAAACGATACTCGTATACAAGTGACAACAATTCATTAAAACAAGAATCTGTGATGCAGATTTAATTACCTCTAATTTAAAATTACAAAGCATGATCACTCCATGTACATTATGTAAACAAACAAACAAGAGTTATGGCTACTGCTGTTAACGACGATGTATTTATGCATTGTTTGAAACCCGAAGTGTGTGCACTGTTTTTTTTTTTATTGGCTATTTAATTATTGATACATTTCTCAGCTGTTGCATACACTGTAATTGTCAGGGCAGGAAGCCATCCCATGGTTGATCTGATACATTTAACATGAATAATTCTAGATAATGCACTCTATTTATGGTGACTTTTAATAGGAAATTGTCATTCAGCCAGTGTCCTGTGTTTGGAGATTAGACTATGCTTCCTGGTGTGTAAGAACAAGACAAAGCCCGCTAATTGATTAACCCTCCCTACATGTGTCAGAGGATGTTTTTCCTAATTAGTTCAGTTCACAGACACTCTTCATTAATTCCTTCATCAGCTATTAGTGCATGCATTTATTCACGATGGGCCTTGTAAAGAAACGTGACTCATGGGGGCGAGATCCTGCTTTTTGGTGCAGTACAATGTGACATAACACTCACATGTTTTCCTTTTGTCACACAAGTTGAAGTCTGAAAAACCTTATCTTATTATTTGTTTACGCTTACCAAACAATCTGGCTTTGAAAATAATACATTGTATTTCTTTGAATGCTGTTTTCCCTTGAACGATGCATTCACAGTTGTCTCCTTTTTGGCCTGCTATAGCAGATAAGATAGTGAAAATAACAATCTGTATCCACTGTGTTTGTGTTGTGTTTGGGAGTAAGAGAGGAGGGGGGTGGGGATTGTCAATTTGTTATTTTCTCTGTGTCTTAATTGGTGTGGTGTCGTTCCTTGCAAGCTGTCGGAGACCCTGCAGGTCCAGACTCCCGCAGTGCCTCCAGGGCCCTGCCAGCCCCCTCGGCTGGTGGGCAAACCCAAAGCCAGGGAGGTGCAACTGCGCTGGGGTGAGTCATTCTTCTGCAAGTCAGATCTGTGTGGGATGTATTCTAGCTTCAGTTGATGCATTTATTTGTCTAACTAACTACCTGAGTTGTGATGATGCAATTCGTATTTGAACAGTTTCCTTTGTATTGTCTTCCTTCCTAATGTAAATTGTTTTCTCACATGTTTCCCAGGCCCTCCACAGGTAGACGGAGGCAGCCTGGTGTCCTGCTACAGTGTGGAAGTGAGTGGGCCGCAGTCTGAGGAGAGCAGGGAGGTCTACCAGGGGCCAGAGTTGGACTGCTCTGTGGGAGGCTTAATGCCTGGCAAAACCTACAGCTTCCGGCTCAAGGCAGCGAACAAGGCCGGGGTGAGAGAGACTGCCCAAACGGATCTATCAATAACAACACTAGAGATTGGTGTTTGTTATCTGTTACATGCTTTGAAGCCTCTCCCACTGAATCTCAAACAGTACATGTTCTTTTTGTTGCGGATAGTTTGGACCTCTTACGGAGCGCTGTGAGGTCACAACCGGCCCTGGGGCCCCTGAGCAGTGCAAGGCTCCTTCCACCACATGCAAATCCCCCAGCTGTGTTGTTGTGAGCTGGGAGGTAAGACTAGTACCACTTCTATTTCCCTATTGACGCATACAAAATAATATCCCATGATTCATTCTAAAGATATATCTGATATCTGAAACTCTTTTCAGGTTAAGTGACGGGTGATATTTTGATCTGTGTTTGCATTACAGGCCCCTCCTTGCAACGGAGCTCCGGTGACCGAGTGTCGTCTGGAGTGGGGGGCAGCTGATGGCAGCATGCAGGTGTGTTACAGCGGACCAGTGCTCAGCCATGAGATGAAGGGGCTGCTGCCTGCGACCAATTACTTCTGCCGGGTACAGGTGAGCCCTTTATAAACAGCAGGAAAAATATATAAATCTGAAGAAATTAGGGGGTTTGTTGGAGTCACAGGTTTGTGGTTATTATTTATAGCTATGTCAGTATTAAAATATGCAAGATGGAGATATATTTCTTCACTGATTTTTTTTCCTTCTTTTTCTTATAATCTTGTCTTTGTCCGCTAGCAACAGGTTAGAGCTATATTTTAGATGAAATATGGGGGAAATTAAATGAATTAAAGATTCTCTAGATAAGTTTGGTCGGGGATTATTTAGAGAACATTTCTGATATGATGTTCTTCTGCTCTCAGTGTAAGTGATGGGTTCATTTTAATCCATTCAGCAATTTCATAGCGGAAAATGATTGCTTTTGAGGATTTGCCGGAATGGTGGGCAGAGGTTTGATAGAGTGCCTGCCTGCGATGCTTGGTAAAAGCTGCATTACCTCTGTTTATAATCTTAATTGCAGTTGGTTGGTTCACTAGTTACTTCATCATGATTAACGAGTGATATGAATAAAGTGAGGCCATGTGTATAATACGCTGTTTCACTGATTGCATGTGTGACAGAAAAAACTGTATTTTTTTTTGTTGAAAGAAAAGAGAGATTGTTGCAGATTGAGATCTGGTTCAGGCTGATATTTCAGGATGTGCTGTACTCATGCTGCCTCTACTGTGGTCCAACAAAGGAGGAATGTGGGGACACTGGTTGATTTCGTGCTAGATAACTTGCTGTGTGATTATGATTTTCCCGACTACCCACTATTTGTCTAAAGTACAGGCAGTACTCGTACCCAGACCATCCCTAAATATTACACTTGTGTCAGGCTTTCAAACCAGACTTCATCATATAATTGTTTACAAACCTAAACATGATTGTCCTAGTTTTTCAAAGATGTCATTATATATATATATTTTTCACATAAGCTTTCAAATTTAAAACAACATAATTGTCAGGACTTAAAACCCTCCGCAGTCATGCTAAACACCCGAGTGCCTCGATAAACATTCATCCGTTTGTAATCTTGCAATCTACTTATTTATCTAAATAGTTATCACCACAATAAACCGTATTTAATTTTGTCTTAATGTACAATATTGAATTCCACATTCTGTTCTTGTATATAATATTCTATTTACATGTATATAGACTTCTTGCACTATTTTTTATTTGTATTTTATTATATATGTTGCATTGTTGGAGGAGCTCTGGTCGTAAGAATGTATTCCCTTTTCTACACTGTAGCTTATCTTTGAATCTTGAGTCTTGTTTACATTGGAATGCCCCCTTGTGGTGACACATGGACCTTACATGTGTCCTTTCACGTTAACGTTGACTGAATCAGCTGACTCCTTTGTTCTGCTGTTGTGCAGGCAGTGAATGTGGCCGGCGTGGGGCCCTTCAGCGAGGCGGTGTTGTGCCATACCCCCTGCTCTGTTCCCGCAGCCGTCAGCAACATCTACGCGCTGAAGGAGTCCGATTTGCAAAGGTACGAGACACAAGTGGAAGAAGAAGAAGAAGAAGAAGAAGAAGAAGAAGAAGACGAGGAGGAGGAGGAGGATGAGGACGGCGCTTCCCGGCCACCACCGCTCTACTCTCCGTCCACCTGCCTGGGCATCAGGTGGGACCCCCCATGTGATCACGGCTCTGAGATCACATCCTACCTGATTGACCTTGGAGAGCGTCAGCCCATTGTTATCGACCCTGTCACCAAACACGTCATCCAGCATCTGCAGCCCGACACCAGCTACAGGTCGGTGCTCCAACAGAACAAAAATAAACCTTCCCTTATGTGTTTCTTATACTACACAACTGTGAGATGCAAACGAGCAGTAACAGTTAGAAACCGTTAGATCCCAGTGCTCACAAATCCTGAAATGTGATACAAATCATTTACACTCCACACTGGTTTGTTCATTTATTGTACTCAAGGAAACCCAAGAGTAAATCTGACACCAAATATAATTAGTTACATTAGTAAATCCAGGTTATTCTTACAAGCGCTGGCAGTTGTCCAGGAAACTATTCTTTTCACAATCTACCAATGTTCCTCTAGCATCAGGCTGGTTGTTCTTCTCAATTAATGTTTGATTAAAGATAAAGCTGGTGTATAACAACATCAAAGGTTTGACTTCTAACAACGGCTGAACGTCCTCATCTGTCAGTGAGATAAAACACTCTTAAAGGTCACCTATTATGCTAAATCCACTTTGTCTTTTATACATAAACAATCATCTCTCAGAGGAGAGTGGCACCTTCTTTTCATCTAAAGTATCAGACACAGAATCAGCACTTTTGAAACGGGGCTGAAACAGAGGGGATTATGGGATGCTACAATGGGTGATCTGTTAGGTATTTCAAGCCAAACACATCAGACATGTTTTGTATATATTTGAGACCTATAATATATTGAGGAAAAAGAGAATAATAGGGGACCTTTAATGCAATTTGACAGCCACTCAAGGTCAGGTCAGTGCTTGAAGCTCCCTACTAATGTTGACATGTCTCTTCTTCTTCCTCAGGATCCGAATCCAAGCCCTGAACAGCCTGGGAGCCAGCCCCTTTAGCCACACCTTTAAGCTTAAGACCAAGCCCTTGCCCCCGCAGCCCCCCCGCCTGGAGTGCACTGCCTTCAGCCACCAGACCCTCAGGCTCAAGTGGGGCGATGGCCCTGCCAAAGCCGCCACCTCAGACGCCCTCCAGTTCCAGCTGCAGATGGGGGACAAGAGCGGCAGGTCAGTGGCCCATTAGTCAGCCGAGGGGGAGTGACCTGACGACAGATAAACAGAGAAGAGGGGAGAGCGAAGGCTTCAGATAACTGCATCCAGGAGGGCGGGGTTCATAGAAAGTAATTCAGCAGATAGTGTGTTCACAGTGTAAGGAGACAGCAGCTGATGATGTGCCTCTGTATATACCCTAACAGAGAAGACACTCGTATCGTTTGCTTTTTGTCATATTTTGCTCATTATTAAATCCTTTCTCTTTCTCTCCCACACTTTTCAATGTTCCTGTCATTGCAGATTTATATCCTTGTATAAAGGACCATGCCACACACACAAAGTCCAGAGGCTTAATGAGTCTACCTCTTATACGTTCCGCATCCAGGCCTTTAATGAGGCGGGCGAAGGGCCCTTCTCCAATGTTTACACATTCACCACCCCGCGCTCTCCTCCAGTCCCAGTGAAAGGTACAATGGCAGCTCTTTTTCTTCATATCTCTCTCTCTAACTATCTATTCCTATCCCTACCCAATGTAGATCAGCTCTTATTATCTTTACAAACACTCACTGACGTACAGACAGTGAGTGTGCTCAGCTTTTAACCTCAGTCCATCCATATTAGTCTTGCTTTTGATGAAGACACAGCACCCAGAGACATGTCGGCTGTCATCGTGAGCCTGGTTGTTCAGCTCGGCGCTCTGCACAGACTCTTTTGATCCTACACATTGAAGTCAGTTAAAATGACGTAGGTTTATATTCTCAATGCGCCACTTCTTTTGATTCAAGCAGTTTGTCAGTGTCACCCACTAACGCTTTCATCCCCACACAGTGAAGTTGAGTCTTAGCCATCAACAGTTTGAATCCAGCCGAACCCAAAGCCTATTATCATAATGCCAAAAGTCATTCAAGTCCTCTGTGCTACTTGTGTTTTCGTCATGATTACCGGGGCACTTCACTAGTTCAAAACAACCACTTGTTTTTGTTGTTTTTGTTCAAAATGCCACCTACCTAAAGAAGAGCATGAGTCATCGTTATGGCAACGTGAACATTTATATATAGTTGTCTAGAAATCACCCTTAATACATCATGAGCCACTGCACATAACAAAGCAAGTTTTATTGTGTTAAAGCAATTATTTTTGCAACGCTCTGATTCGATCAGAAAGTTCAAAGAACATATACAAATATTTTTGGCTTAAAAAATGTTGTCTTGCATTAAATAATTAAATTATACAATCAGCTGTGTTTTTCTTGATTATATCCCTAAGAAGTTCAAACCATGTGGTTATCTATATACCATCACAAATTACACATGTGTCTCTGTGAACTTTACAGTTTGTAAAGCATTCAACCCCCTCTGTCCTTAGACCCTTGCAGCAAACATTTGTTTTTCCTCCTCATTAAAAACATGTCTTGTTCAGATGGATTGATCTTTTATTTGAAGTGCTTTTCATCAAATCTGCTCTCTCTTCCCCTCTCTTAGTACCTAAAGTGGAGCGTCTGGATGACAACTCCTGTGAAGTCACATGGGAATCCCTGCCGCCCATGAAGGGGGACCCTATCATCTACACCTTGCAGTGCATGATGGGAAACTCTGATTTTAAACAGGTACTAATGTTGCTGTGTGAAGGCTTGGTACTCCCCTCTCCCTATATATGTCCTGTCCTTACCTACAGCTGACCTGCCATTCATCACGGGGGCCATGTTATGCAGATCAGGATACAGATGGATCCGGGGCCTTAATATTTTCTCCGCGGCTTAGAGGCGTCTGTATTAGTCACCGCTGGCTTTAAATTGCCCATTATGCAAAGGTCATTGATCCATGAGGTATCCCAGGTGTATGGTCGCTGCCAGCACATCCATCCCTCTCAGTGGCCTCCAGCCATGTTAACGGGGAGTAATGGCCACATCAGGCTTATGCTAATCCAACCTCATCATACATGGCTATTGAATGAGGGAGTTGAAATATGTGGTTGCTATGCTGCATGAATTTGTTTCCACGCTTATTGTCAGTCTCAGTGGCCTCAACTCGAAAGCTCATGTTGAAGAAAGGGGAATCTGCGGAAAGGAGTTTATTTGAGGTGGTTTAGTTTCATTTATGTGCACCTGCAGGGCTAGTGTAGTGTAAAAAGGACCCTTTGAAATGTTTTAATTTGAAAAGGCCTAGTCGCCTATATTTTTTTATTACATACCCAATTCATAACCAATCAAAACTGGGGATTTGATAAATACAATTTCAGGCTTACCTTCAAAAGGTCACTCAGTAAATAGAATCAGAACAGTGTGTGTACAAACAAACAGTGCAGGTTTACAAGCATCTCTAAAAACATGTGGGCGTGTTGGCTGGGCAAACAGCCAAAGCAGATGGCATCCCCCTTCATCCAAGGTGACACATTACATAACTCCTACAAATAAATCAGAAAATAGTCTGTAAATTGAAAAATAGCCAAAGCTCAAAAAGGATGCATAACCGTATTTCCCATTATACCTGACAATTGAAAGAACAGAAAGGCAACGTCAGGAATGAGCCGTTAGATTACAATGATTTTGCCTGCTTTTATTTCCCAGTAGTTCAATCCAATTCAACCATCTTAAGTCAATATTGGTCACCAGGTTCAGGCTAGTATCCTTAAAGCAGCTGAATTACAGAATCCCTCAGTGACATATCAGAAACATCATGATGAAAGATGCAAAAGACACATCATTTGTCTCTTAATAAAAAGACAGAAATCAAATCATTTAAAAGTCCCCTATTATGCAGTATGCACTTTTTTATGTCTTTTATACATAAATATGTGTAGGGCCAGTAGATGTTCATTGTCACTGGCCCCACGATTGTAACCACTGGCCCGGAGCATTCGTCCAATAATAAAGAAAATGAACACATTTGTTGAAGTAATTTATGCACAAACTACATTACTACTTGTACTACAACATTTGAATCATCAGTTCTTCCTCGTTTTCCTCAATTGATCATATTTGGTTTATTAAAATTATTAAATTGTGGTCAATGTTAAAGAAAAAAAGGAGGGTGACATTTCTGCTAAGAGTATTATTATGTGTATAATACACTTTGTGCCTTCCTGTCATTATCAGGAGTTAGAAATGTAATGGCTATGTAATAGATTAGAACCTTCATTATCTTAAACTGCTGGGACATTTCCCTATAGTGAATATACCTTTTATATATTTTCTACTCTTCACTTACTTGTCAGCATAGGTCGGCATTGATGTACAGAGCCGACAAAAGACCTTGTTTATGTTGGCATCATATTGAAGCCAACTCCATCGATCAAGCCAGTGTGGCTGAAACTTTCTCTCCCTCTTCTTCTCATACTCCCTCTCACTCTCCTTTAACTCCTCCGGTGACTTTCTTTTATTTGAAGATTGTTTTTTGCCAGGCGCTTGGCAGGTTACCGGTGTTTTTAAAAACATGTTGGCGAATGATTAGGTGGTGCGAAAGTCTATAGTAAAGCCTATTACTAAGTCTCTAGCCTCGCCGGTTGATATTTTGGGCTCCCTCAATAAAAACATCCTCCCCTCTGTCATGAACCTTGGAGTGACCTTCAATAGCGCTTTTACATTTGATAAGCAGGTCAGCACCGTAGTCAAGCCCTGCTTTTTTAAAATGCGACTATTGGCCAAGACCAAGTCGTTTTTATATTTTAAAGACCTAGAAAGTAGGGCTGAACGATATATTGTGTCATGGCGATAACCGCGATATGCGCATGCGCGATATTCACATCGCAGGGACGTGCGTTTTTATTAAATGTTTGTATTCATTTTTTTTTTTTTTTTTTTACATTTTTTTAGGACGTGCGATATTAAGTAGGTACATTAACTCAAACACGTCATGTTACAATTATTTTGCTGCTTGCTACAAAAGGAAAACTTGCGCGGCGCTCATGTCAGGGGTACTTGAGTGAGTGACATGCAGGCTCTGCATGCACAGCAAACCAGCAATCACAATCATTCTTGATCAGATCACAGCAGGCCCCGCCCCGCCAGTTTGCAGACCATCAAAACACAGGTAAAAAATGAGCGGGGAAGAGAAGGACAATACCGGCGAGAATGAAGATTTACTTCCAAAAAGAAAAGCAACATCTGCCATTTGGAACTATTTTGGATACAAAAAGGTTCTTCTCTTCTTCATTCACAGATGAACCCCCTTATTTGAGGGTAAGCAACATGCATTATCATGACATGTTAGATCATGACTTAAGGTACGATGAGTCAACCAGTTAAGATCCAGACGTCCGTGACTAAAATCCTTCATCCGGTTAAATATAGTTAAAAAAAACGCAATATATATATATATATATATATCGCAGGGGGAAAAAATATCGCAATGTCAGTTTTTTTTCAATATCGTGCAGCCCTACTAGAAAGGGTTATTAACGCCTTTGTAACTACGAGGCTGGATTATTGCAACGCTCTATACGTGGGTATGGACCAAGCGTAGATTAGACGCCTGCAGCTAGTCCAGAACGCAGCGTCTTCTCACTGGCCATAAAAAGCGTCACCACATCACCCCAATTCTGGCCTCAATACACTGGCTTCCAATTCGGTTCAGAATTGATTTTAAACTCCTTTTATTTGTGTTCAAAGCACTAAATGGGCTGGCTCCGGCTTATATAGCAGAACTCCTCCATCGCTACACCCCAGCCAGAGCTTTAAGGTCGGCTGACCAGCTGCTACTGATAGTACCCAAGACCAGGCTCAAAACCAGAGGGGACCGAGCCTTCGCAGCAGCGGGCCCCAGGCTCTGGAACACTCTGCCCCTCCATGTGAGGTCAGCCCAGACTCTAGGGGTTTTTAAATCAACACTAAGACTCACTTCTTCTCCCTGGCCTTCTAGTCAGAGCGGAGCACGACTCCTGACATTTCCCTGTGTTTGATTTTTATATTTGCTGTTGTAATTTATTGTGTTCTGTTTTGCTATCGCAGTAAAGTGTTTTTATTGCATGTACAGCACTTTGGCTCGACCAAAAATCGTTTTAAAAATGTGCTATATAAATAAAACTTGATTTGATTTGAAAGGAGCGCACTCCCGCACACGGGAGCCTGCTGCGCTGCGCTCTGCACCGCAGCAAACAGCCGTTTGCTTTTCATCCAACAATGACAACTGCCTCACGAAACGCTATGTTGTAGCGTTAATAAACGAAACAATTTAACAAAATTGCTTGTCAAAATACCAATACCACAGGACTTCCGGGCCAGCGGGCCATTTATAATGCCTAGCCCTGTGTGTCCCCGGTGTTAGGGAACTCACAAAGTGTCAGAAAACAAAACCCTCTCTCTTTTCCTCCGTACCTAAAGCTCTAAAAACGGGGGTACAACGGAGCTGATCCAGATTTGCTGCGGTCATGGCAACATTAGTAAAATGTGGGCTGGCTTTACGCGCATGGCCCAATCAGAAACGTTGCTGTATCAGAAACAATGCGCTACGTGTTTTGGACATAATATGGTCCGTTTCACATTAGCAAGCATCGCTAACACTCAGAACTAACATGTACTGTAGAGAGTATGTGTACAAAAAAAAAGCAGGATATAAAAAGGAACTCACCTTGTGGTAAACCTGTCCGAGAAAAAGCATTTGAGCTCCATACTGTTTCAGAAATAATCCTTAATGTGGTTTGGAACATGATACGGCATTTAATCATGGCAGCATTTAGCTGAATAACTGGGTACAATTCTCCTGCATGAGCTCTCCTCTCTTTTTTTTCTTTATTTATAAAGCTATGGACCCAGAATCAGCTCTTCTCTAACAGGGCTGAAATAGAGGGGTATGAGGCTACAATGGGTGATCTGTTTGGCATTTTGAGCAAAACACTTCATAGAAATGTTTTTTATATATCTGAGACCTATAATATATGCCTGAAAATAGTATAATGGGAGACCTTTAAGCTCTCTTTTTGTCCTATTTACAGTATTTAATCACACTTTTGTTCCTTTCTTTACAGTCATACAAAGGCTCTGCGACATCCTTCCATGTCCAGAGCCTGCAGCCCAACAGCGACTACCGTTTCCGGGTGTGTGCGATCAGACAGTGCCAGGAGGCCCCTGAGCTGAGCGGCCCCTACAGCCCCACAGTGACCCTCTCCCCCCAGCGGAGCGACGTGGCGGTGAGCGGGGGGGCGGCCGGCTCGGGGTCCCGGGCCGGCGTGGAATCCAACCGAGCCAGACGGAGCCTGACGGACGAGCAGTGCGCGTTCCTCCTCCTCATGGTGTTCGCTGTTATCGCCATCCTCATCGCTTTCGTCATACAGTACTTTGTTATTAAATAAGCAGTTTGCGCCGCCCAGCTGCAGGGTTATAGCTTTATTCTTCCCCGCCCCCCCCTCTGTCTCTCTCTCTCTGTTGTTTTGTACTTATTGTTTTCTCCCCCTGCTGTCAACAGAATAATTGTATTTTCCACATTGGGGTGCAGCGGGAAGGTGGGCTGGTGAGTGACAGCTGAATAGCAGTTAAAAATTGAAGATGTAACAACTTATTTGGCACCTGTGATAACTCCCTGCCTCTCCTGCCTTTGTCACCCCCTCCCCACTTTGTGGTATCTGTTGTTCAGTTCACATTTCTGTTTCATCATGATAATGCGTGAAAAAGAAGTCAGAAAAGAGCAGGGTTTCATTTTGGAAGAGGGTCATGGGTAGAGGGGAGAAGGGCCGCTTCGACTCACATACTTGTTGATTACAGTATATATAGATACACAGAATATATATATGTATAGAAATAGTCATTATTTATATTTCCATTAATGTGTCCAGTATCAACCTGTTTTTTGATAGATGTGTTCAAAATGTATGTAGGTGTGTCTTTAGCCTATGTGCTTTTTGATCCTGGGACCTGGTGGGCCAGTGTTTGCACTGTGGGGGGGGTGTCCAGGTGTGTATACCGTATGTAGTTTAGTGCCACAGAGGTACACGGCTGGGGGGGCGTCAGGGCCAGATGAAGGGGGACTTAACCCCCTGCTGGAGTTTTAGGTGGGTTTATTGAGAGGAGGAACGGAAATGAAAATCTTGTTCACGCGATAGACAGCGTTCATTTAGCACTTTCCAACCTTTTTGATGTTCAGAATGTTTAAGGATGCAAAAATGACTGGAGAAATGTTAGTATATTTTTGTACAGTGAAGACACGAGGACCTGTACGTTTGAGGAAAAAAAATGCTCAGTATAAAGTTAGAAAACAAACAAAAACCAAACTAACAGTGAATTATAATTATTTTTACTATCATATAGTTATACTGCTGCTTTACTCCGAAATATTGTTGTTCAGCACAGAAAATGTATGCTTACCTGTATGTTTTTCTTTTCTTCTGTTTTTTGTTTTTCCCCAGTAATTGATTTTGCACCTTAGTGGAAGAAGAAACCTCGACTGACTGCGTCTTGGTCTTGCGATGAATTTTATAGAACACACTTTGAGATTGTGCAACCCTACTTGTGTTTTGGGTGTTTTAAAAGTTGTAGTACCACATCATGTGTCGCTGAAACAGCTGATCTTTCTCAGCAAAAAAAAAAAAAGAGAGAAAAAAAAGTATGTACCAGTTGTTTCAGAGGCCTTAATTGGAGATTTTTCTTAATTTCTCAAGTTTTGATTTCTTTTTTTAGTGTTTAACGACTCTAAAATGGGTTTTATTTACTTTTATTTTGCAACATTTATTTGATGATAGTAAACATATGTAATCAGGAGAGAAATGGAAAGTAGTTATATGTATTACTTATGATTTATTTTGATTTATTTTGTCAGGTCATACATGTGTGAAGTATATTTTTTTATAATATTGAAGTAATATAAGTTAATACTCTCCAGAGAAAATAATACATCCTGAGTACTCATGAATCATGGAACGCAAATGGCAGATACAAAATGTGTTATATCATGTACTTCCTGTGAATCTAAATTTGCCTTTTCTCTGTGTGTTAAGTATCTGTAACAGATTTCTAACCCTGAGTTTTCAGTGGTGATCTGGCTGTAGGGTCTAGTGTTGTTTGGTTTTGGGAAGATAACTGCTGTTGCAACCGTAAAAATGAAATGCAGGTACCTTGCGAAACGTCTTGGATAATTACATGATTTGGTCTTTCAGACATTCTGCAAATGTCTGCTCTGTCATTTAAAGAATTCAAAATCCTATTTTTGATAGCGATTGCAACGTGTGCCATTTTAACACCGCTTCACCCTGGGCTTACTACCTTTGGTTGGGGAGATTAACAAAATGCTACAAAAATGAATAAAATATGCACAAAAATAGAGACCATTTTTATGTAATTTTAATGTTTGCAGTTACCTCATACACCGTACATTCCAAAATGAAAATTTGTTATACTATACATACTACCAGACATATCACTTTAAAATGTTCGTTATGGGAAAATGTATAATCATAGATATGTATCTAAAGTGTATCTGTATAGCCATGATATCTACAAAGGATCCATGCACAATAAAAGATTTATAATTCTTTATCGTGTTTGATTTTTGGTCTTTGTTGTTGTCTTTGGATTACTTATCAAATATTGCAAGGTTCAACAATCTAATCTTTCTATATTAATATGAAAAAAAGTCAGCTATGCTAATTATCCATTCATTAAGTGATAAATCAAGAAATGAACCCTACACAGCACTGGTTCCAACGTGAGGATTATTTCCTTTTTTTCCGTAGAATATTTCTTTGGTTTTGCGCTTTCGGTCGGACAGAACAAGAATTAGCCATGGAACAAACTGACTAGAAACAAAATTGTAAATAGAAAAGTGATGACGCAGCATCTCAATGGTTTATGCTGAGTTTCAGCCTTGTTGTTTCAAATCATCATACATTTATGTTCAAATGACATCTGGCTGAGAGCATTGCCCTACTAAAGCCTGGAAAGACTGATCATCAGCAAAAATGGTACTTCATTTCCTTTTCTTTCAAGTGTTTTTAAATGGGTCAAATCATCTGAAAATGCTTGAGAGAACAATAGGCCATGATGCAAGTAAACTATACCTTCCCAGTAGTCCTAATCTGTAATTTCTGGTCACGTTTGACCAGTAGTTCAAAATTTAAATTCCTACCAAGAAATAGAGCTGTGGGAAATGATGATTTAGTTTAATAAATCAACCTTTATCAACAGTTGATGAGGTGATGAGCGCCACATAATGGACTGACAGTATTTGAGAAACTGTTGAATGAAAGCCTTTGGAGAAGCAAGAGTTCCTGTTAACTGAGCAGGAGAGCCATGATTAATGTTAAGTAAGCTTACTCCGTTCACTCTTCTGTGTACATCATTGGTTCTTGTTGAGAGACACACTGGTCACCCATTTCTTAAAAAGGGGACAAACAAGCTTTCCCTGTCGTGTTTCTTTGACAGGAGTAAACAGGGACATTCCTGCTGCCCCTCAGCTCCGAGCGGTGCATCCGGCTGGGGATCAGCTCAGTGTAAACACACAGATACAGCCGGTGTCAGTGTGACTCTGCTTACAAAGGTTCATTTAGACCTAATGGATATGGTGGCTCTGAACCAACAGAGCACGGCCCTCCAGGGTTTGGTGACTAATGCTTCTTTGGACACAGCCGGAAAACCTGTAAATCAGGGAGAGAAAATCTGAAAGTGATATGTTCACAGCCTGGAGAACTAGATAGGGAATGCAATTATTTGAAGAAAATGTACAAACAGTCATAAATGATTCTTCTCATATTAATCTGCAGGGCTTGCGACACTTTCTCTTCATCCAAATCAGACTGAAAACCTCAGAATTTGTGGATTAGTTGGATATGAACTGAAGAACTGTGTTGCCGGAGGTCATACTGAATTAAATCTTCTATTCTTAAACAGAAAACCAGGTGGAAGAACTCACACAACTTTTGACCTTTTCAGACTCGCTCTCACCGCCAACTAAACTTTATGGACATTCTTTAAAGATGACATTCCTGTTAAACCAGCATAGATGAAACTGAGTTTATTATAACAAGCCTGGTAGGTAAGGTGAGAGTGACGAAGACGAGAAGTGCCATTGGGAGTGTGGAGTGATGAAGCTAAGTAGAGTGACGGATGGGGCAAGTGGACAATTAGGCAAACACAGGGCTCATTTTTCAGTGACTTCTCCCAGACAGCTCAGCAAACACGCTGGGCTTTCAGTGATTGATGCATCAATTAATAAACCTACATCCCTCATATGTGGTTTTCTCATGTATTTACACTCAATTCAAATTAGTATGGTACTTAATCTATATGTATTCTCCCAGAGGAGCAGCAGTGATGGAAGGGGGTCCCTCCAATCGTATTCCCTCCATCATATGCCTTTTACCATCATCCGTCTCATCATCATTTGATTAGTTAGACACACACACACACACACTCCTCAGGGTGGTGGTGTGGAGGAGGTGCTCCCTTATTCATCTCTCAGCAGAGCTCTCCTGGTCACTGAGCACCAGGAACCGGCTCTGCCACTTCATGAGACCCTGCTGCCGCTCGCCATCGACACACAGCAACGCAACAGAGACCAAGAAAACGTTTTTAGGAGATCCAGCTGAGTTTCACAGGTAAAGTCAACAGCCATTATTTATTCCACACAAGGATGTTGTTTCTACTTTTAGGTATAAAAGTTAAAGGAGCATCAAATGCATGTTTTATTTATTCTACTACAACCTGCTTTTACTTTATATTGTTGTTGTATTTAACATTCTTTTAAAGAAAAAAGCCATCTACCAGTTTCCATTCAAAAGTTCTAGCATTTGAGTTCTGTAGTCAACACTGTTGCTAGAAGGAAATGCGGTGCGATTATTTAAATTCACGTTTAAATGATCAAAATGAAAGAAGGCAGACCTTATGATCATTGGTCTCAATCAATCAAAGTGTATTTATATAGCCCAATATCACACATTTTACATTTGTCTCAGTGGACTTTAGAGTTTGTACAGAATATGGAGACAACACCTTCTGTTCTTGGACCCCAACATCAGACAAGGAAACACTTGCAAAGAAACCCCACAGTTAATGGGGGAAACATTTAAGAAACCTCAGGGAGAGCAACAGATCCCTCTCCCAGGACGGACAGACACGCAATAGATATAGTGTGTAAATTGAAAAGATAATAAATGTACAACGTAGGTAGTCCAACTGCTTGAAAATGCATGTTCTATAAATAAGAAGATGAATCCAGGTGAAATTAATACAAAACTACAAAAAACGATAAACCCTGACAGGAGAAATGTCTAAATATAGTGAAGTTTAAAAGAAACCCCAGTTTAGTCCTTTAATGGTTTCATTTCTCTCTCCTTGTTTAAGTCTTGATTCCCCCTTTGCTGTGCCAACACTCAGTGACAGTGGGCATGCCCTGGACCAGACCCCAGGTGGACCTTAATGCGGGGGGAGCAGAGGCCATGGACCAGTTGAACATAGACGACCATCACTACGAGGGCTCCCTCTTCCCCACCTCCACCCTCATCCCTGTCACTGTCATCTGCATCCTCATCTTCATCATCGGGGTGACCGGCAACACCATGACCATCCTCATCATCCAGCACTTCAAGGACATGAAGACCACCACCAACCTCTACCTGTCCAGCATGGCGGTGTCCGACCTCATCATCTTCCTCTGCCTGCCCTTTGACCTTTACCGCCTGTGGAAGTACGTGCCCTGGCTTTTCGGGGAGGTGGTGTGTCGCTTCTATCACTATATCTTCGAAGGCTGCACCTCGGCCACCATCCTGCACATCACGGCCCTGAGCATCGAGCGCTACCTGGCCATCAGCTTCCCCCTCAGGAGCAAGGCGTTGGTGACCCGACGCAGGGTCCAGTACATCATCTTCGCCCTGTGGGTCTTTGCCCTGGTGTCCGCCGCTCCAACGCTCTTCCTCGTTGGGGTGGAGTATGACAATGACACACACCCAGACTACAACACAGGGCAGTGCAAGCACAGCAACTACGCCATCAGTTCCGGGAAGCTGCACATCATGCTCTGGGTGTCCACCACCTACTTTTTCTGCCCCATGCTCTGCCTCATCTTCCTCTATGGCTCCATCGGATGCAAGTTGTGGAATAGCAAAATGGACCTGCAAGGCCCCTGCGCTTTGTCCCGAGAGCGGTCTCACAGGCAAACAGTCAAGATCCTGGGTGAGTGCAGACAGACAGACAGATAGATAGATAGATAGATAGATAGATAGATAGATAGATAGATAGATAGATAGATAGATAGATAGATAGATAGATAGATAGATAGATAGATAGATAGATAGATATAATTGGAGGATGAAATCCTCTTTAATGGTCACACATACATGCACACAGCACACACAGTGACATTTTACCTCTGTATTTAACCCATCCTAGTAGGAGGAGCAGTGGGTTTATACTTCTTTCCTATACTTTCAAAAACCTTTCTCTGAATTACATTACCAGGAACGTTATTTGTAGCAAAAGCCTAAAGCACAAATCCATCTCTTTTATACAATCAATCTAACTTTCATTGTTGCTGTTGCAATATAATAGGCTGACGGAGAATCAAAAATATCTTGTTTACTGCACCGCCTCTATTGTGTTTGCTTTAGCAAATTAAGCTAGTTATAATATATATTGATTTGTACTAAATTAAACCTAATTCCAGCTTTTTTAAAATTGTTTTCACAGGGAATTGTGTTGCTTTTATCCGGCAGGTTTGAGAATTGCAAGCTTGATAATAATTCAGTTTTGTCTGAGGCTATACATGCTCTGCACATGCTGATTGACGTAATACGCAGCTCTGGCTTATTGCACAGGAAACCCTGTTTGATAGTAAAGTACCATGGCCAGTCCAATCTGAATTAACCAAATATTGAATCATGATGTATCCATTAGGATATAAAGGCAGTTCATTAGCTGAGCACACGCTGCACAGAGCCCATGATGTCCTACTTGCTGCCATTTGTATCCACATTTGTTGAATCCCAAATTGGATTGTCATCAGAGGTCTTCATAAATCACCATAATGGAAATGTAAATGGTCCCATACTCCTGGGCTCCTTTTGTATTACGCTGGCGTCACACATCCCAGGAGTCACTCAATGATCATCTGTTCACTCTGTCCATGATGTAGGTCTTCGATTAATGGATTCTGTTTATTCACAAATAATTAGTCTTGTGTAGGCCAGACAAACCTCTCTTTTAATTATTTAACGAACTTGTATCATCCTTCCAGATATGACTGGCTCCATTAGACAAATTGATGGCCATTTTATTTGCAGGGACTTCTAAACCAATAGCAGTGAGTCAGGGATTACCTCACCCCTGTGTGTGTGTGTGTGTGTGTGTGTGTGTGTGTGTGTGTGTGTGTGTGTGTGTGTGTGTGTGTGTGTGTGTGTGTGTGTGTGTGTGTGGGTTTAAAGATAAGTTCCTTTGATGTTTATTGCCGCTGGTCATTAATGAAAGTCAAGGGTGACAATAGAACATAAATCATACTGTGCTCAAAGATCGAGACACATTTTTGTATTAACTTATTATTATTAACAAAACCAGAATACATTATAATCTGTGAGAGATGCTATAATATTGTTTATTGCTCATGTAAAATTAGTGTATTGATCCTATCACATTTAAAGCTCTACATTTGGCTTTATGGGCAATAAGAAAACATGTGGTATTGTATTTGCTTGAATTTCATTTTTGTATTGTCAATTCAAACTTTATACTCTGTTTCTTATTTTTATTTAAACTTCTGATAAAGCAAAAATAGCTGTTAATCTTAGCGTTTTTCACAAAAAGTCAAACTATTCCTTTAAACTAATTTCCCTCTCCTAACTGTATTCCCCCTCAGCAGTGGTGGTGCTGGCCTTCATCATCTGTTGGCTGCCCTATCACATAGGCAGGAACCTGTTTGCCCAGGTGGACGACTACGAGACGGCCATGTTGAGCCAGAACTTCAACATGGCCTCCATGGTGCTGTGCTACCTCAGCGCCTCCATCAACCCCGTCCTCTACAACCTCATGTCCCGGAAGTACCGGGCCGCGGCCAAACGCCTGTTCCTGCTGCACCAGCGGCAAATACAAGCCCGCCACGGCCAGAGGCAGCTCTGCGTGATCGACCACATCTCCACCCTGAATGAGAGCCTGACTGGGGTCTGAGGGGGTCATGAGCAGTGATTTTAACAGGTTTGATTGACTTCAGAGATTGCACGTTTCAGGAGTTGAGCGAAACCTTGTTGGAGATGTTCGTTCCATTGTATCTTTGAGCGGGAAAACAGGGCTGAGAGCTCCACTTCAATGCAAAGTCTGCTTCACACAGGGGCATTCTGATCACATATAGACAGTGTTTTCACCTAATGTAGAAGTATTTACCTCGACAGTGTGTGCTGCTACATGTTTATCTTGCTTTGTGGTCAGCTGCAAATATGGCTTGACCCCAACAAAATTGCAACAAAAGGTTTTTCAATGGATTATTGTCGTATCAGATGTACTTAATAACATACTAAAAGTCCAAAGAAATCTGACTACTAGAAATGTGTAATTTTCAAGATGGCGTCCAAGATGGCCGAAAATTCCTTAAAATAAGTATGATAATAAAATGATATGAACTCCTTCATAATTTATTAGGGACACCTTATACTACACAAAACAGTTAAGAAACCTTTTGTTGCAATTTTTTTGGGCTAATGTTTTTTTTTCATATATGCAGTCGCCTATTGTGTAAGTGCTTATTGAACAGCTGATAATAATAAGCGCTCCTTCTTTGTTAATGACAGATGATGTTTGTGCCACATTTGAAATGAGTCCTCATTTATTATGTTTAATTGTAGTCTCAACTGCATTCTGTTGTAAGATTGAATTTGTTTAATGTTTGTTTGTCGTTCTCATAAATCAAGAAAAACTGAAAACAAGTCAACCTATTAGCCGTGCTCCATTAGTTGTGCAGATCTGAAATTGGATATTCCGGTGTGATATTTGAGTGTTTGTGTTTGTTGTGTACCATTTCTCCTGTGAATAGATGCAACATAAACTTCATAAAAGCAGATTAATATGAAAATGGGATAGTTGATGTCTGTGTGAGGCCACCTGAGCCCTGAGGATTTGAGGCTGCGTACGTGCCGGCCATCATGTAATCTGACACAGCTATTATATTACCTGGGCTCTGAGTTTGATTTAAGCTGGCGGCTAGTGTCCCTGCATCACCATATTCAAAGTAATGGCTGCTCTAAGTGCATTTCAAAGAGGAACAAAATATTAGGCTGTCAGCAGCGGCATAGGTTATTTCTTTTATTGCTTCCGCCTGCATAATCTCAACAACGTTGTCCATTTCCTCATTGATGTTGCATTTTTTATTAGAAATTGTACTCTTTTTGTACCTCATGCACTCTGGCAAGAAGGGTAACGTCAAAGTATTTAGCCTATTTTTAACCTGAACACTGTCTAATCCCCAAATAAACGCAGAGTTTTCAAGGTTCTGTCTCTTAAATGGAACTGTCGTGATTTTGCCCATGAATCATCAGGGCCTTGGTTTGCACAAATACTAAGAGACAGTCGCTGTGGGCTGACTCATCCTCATGACACATTTTTTTCACCGAGCCATTCATCTCTGCCAGAGGAGCTGAAGCAGCGGTTAAAAGCTTATAATGCCACAGACCATCCTGCCTTCACCTGGGGAGAGATCAGCGAGCAGCACGACTCCTCTGTCGGTTATTTTCTTTACAGATAATGAAGAGAGTGTGTGTGAGTAGCTGTAAACACTCCCCTCAGGCCTCCGTCACATCACCTGAAATCATTCAGTCTTTGAAATGTAGTTTGTTTAGACTCAAGGTTCTAGGTCAGGACTTATTTTCCATCAGCAGACATCTGACATCACTGTGCACACACCCCTTCTTCTCATCTTTTCGATCTGTCATATACAATATTAGACAGTGATTTATTTGAATAATAACAATAATTCTTAATGAAGATAAGATGTGAATACAGATTTCCTAAGAGATGATTGTTAAGTTATTGGGTTTCAAAATTATTGGAAAAAGAAACGACAAAAACTGACCATAATCAAACAATTCTCGGCTGTGTCATTTGAATAAGTGTCTAACATTTAGAAAACATTTAACAAAAGCTACAAACAAAGTAGGGATGCACGATAATTATCGGCCCGATATTAGGAATTATGACGTCATCCCGATAAACCCGATACCAGTATTAATAGCCCCGATAATATACAATATATTTTTTGGGTAAAAAAAAAGAAAAAAATACTGCGGTGTGGGTGGATTGGGATGAGGGGCGCTTGTTTTTTCACTCGGCTCCTCCCGTTTTGCCAGTACTGTGGTATTAGTGGTTTAGGAAGAGGGGAGTTCTTCACAAATCCAGCGCTCCCTAACTCATGCCTGGCTGTGACGTAAATGGTGTGCGGCCGTGAAGCCAGGACAGTAAACAAACATGTCGTCGGTGGTATGGGCGTTGGAGCTATGTGCAACTCAAGGCATATGCTCGAACCGGAGCTGCCTGGACTCTGCAATCATGTTGCGCACTATCCGTGCTGAGTGTGCTGACTTTTCGTACAATGTCCCACTGTCTGGCTTCCTGCATAAAGTCAAGTGCTCGGCGCAGTTGTGGCGAAATGTCGCTCCTCTGTTTTCATTTAAACAGCTCCGTATATCCGTATATCCGTTAGCGCAGCTAGCTAGCACCAGATGCTAACAACAACAATGCACGTAAGGTCTCTCGCTCGCTCGGGCCACACATACACACACCCTCCCGGTCCTCCAGATGGCCAGTCGGTGCCTGCCGGTGAGCGTGGAAGTGTGCCTGCCATAAGCGGGCGACAGGAGTGGGGCTGTCAGCATCAGCTTGTAGATGGTATTTTAAACTCGATGTGCTCGGAAACTACGGGGCGGCCGAGGAAAAAAAATAAACATGCGTTAATCGCGTTAAAATAATTAGTGGCGTACATTTTTTTAAATTATCGGTATCGGTCTTGAGAAGCAGGAAGTTATCGGTATCGGTTTCAAAAAACCAATATCGTGCATCCCTAAAACAAAGTAGTGTTTCGGAATAAGTGTTCCAGACTTACGTTTTGTATAGAATTTTTTTGTGATTGTTTCTCAGTTACTATCATTAGCATAGTTTAGTTATTGACTGAATTGATGTACAGTACCCTTGTACTGTCATGCTGCCTTGCAGTATGTTTTTTTTCATTTGCATTCATCTCCATATGAAACATGCAGCAATTTGAGATACATTTCCTTTGTTATGAGTATTTTCTGATACTGCTTATCAGGTCAACGTCATTTCAGTCAGTGTCTTTCCACCAGAGGAGGGAGCCAAAGACTACTGCCGTCTGACAAACAAACTGTATGTATTCATAATTTAAAGAAACATAAATTACAACAATATCAAACATTTCATGTAATTAAGATAGGTCAAGCATAGCTTTTAAACTACATAAACACTGTACTTTTAGTTTAAAGGTCCCATGATATGGCCATTTCTACTGATCATAATTCCATTGTTGAGGTCTACTAGAATAGATTTACATTGTGCAATTTTCCAAACTCACATTGGTTTCTCATACAGCATCTCTGTATAGTATGTGTATTCACTCTCTGTCCTAAACGGCTTGTTGGAGCTCCTGCCCCCCCTCCCTGTGAGCCCAGTGTGCTCTGATTGGTCAGCTCGCCCACTCTGTTCTCATTTAATTTCAAACCTTTATTTATACAGATAAATCCCATTGAGATCATTGATCTCTTTTTCAAGGGAGACCTGCTCAAGTAGTTCCACATGAAACATAAACATAAATAGAACAACAAAAGGACATCATACAGCATCATTTACATAATTATCCACATAAACAGGTACCAATAGCTTCCGATTGACTAGCATCCAACCGAGCTTTAAAAACATTTAGTGGCACCAGATTGTTCAATTTCCATTTAATTTGCAGACTATTCCAAGACAGAGGAGCTGCGCATCTAAAAGCTGTCTTCCCTAAGACAGTCCTAGCAGTTGGCACATTTAATAAAACCACAGCATTCGATCTCAGGCACTTACAATTTTCCGTGAGATCAGGGAGCAGATATAAGATGGAAGTTTCCCTAACATGGCTTTGTATATAAAAATATACCAGTGACTGAGCCTCCGTACAGTTAGTGAAAGCAAACCAGCCCTTGCATACAGTGGTACAGTGATGGGTTAATGCTTTACAGTTTGTCACAAATATTAGTGCACTGTGATACGCAGCATCTAACTTGACCAGGCAATTGGCAGGTGCATTCATATACATCAAATCACCATAGTCCAGCACAGGTAAAAAGGTCACAGTGACTAGCCTTTTCCTGGCCTCAAGTGAGAAACAGGACTTGTTTCTGAAAAAGAAACCTAGCCTAACCCTCAGCTTTTTAAGCAGGTTATTGACATGAAGTTTAAAAGTGAGACAATCATCAAGCCAGATACCAAGGTATTTGTAACAGGTAACCACTTCAAGTTTTATTCCTTGTGTAGTTACAATATCTAAAACAGGCTCTGGTGTCTTTTTAGCTTTAGAAAAGAGCATTACCTTGGTTTTCTCAACATTTAAAAGAAGCTTTAGTTCAGAGAGCTGAGTCTAAATAATGTTAAAAACAGCCTGTAATTTAACACCAGCCTCCTTAATGGAGGGACCTGCACAATACATCACGGTATCATCCACATACAAATGTAAAGTAGCTTCATCCACATTTTCACCTAAACTGTTGATGTAGATGGAGAATAAAAGTGGACCTAAAACAGAACCTTGGGGAACACCATTAGCAATGTTCAACCACTCAGAAGACAACCCATCAAAGTGAACACATTGGGACCTTTCAGAGAGGTAGTTTACAAACCACAAGTTTTTCAGAGTCACATACTGTAGTGTTCACAGAAGCAGAGTTAGTGACAGAATCAAATAGAGAACCACAGGACACAAAATGCTCATTAAAGCAATTTAGCATAGTAGCCCTGTCCGATATAGAGCCAGATGCTGTGGTAATGCACGGAGGTAGCTCATTACGGATATCGCCGGTGGATAACGATTTAATGGCTTTCCAACATTTTCCAGGATTATTCAGATTCTTTGTGGTTACTGACAGATAGTACTTTGATTTAGCACTTTTGATTTGCGATGTGAAGCAATTCCTTAGCTGCCTAAAACGCAGCCATTCTACCTCTGAGCCTGATTTCCTAGCCTTTGCCCAGGCCTTGTTTCTCTCATGAAGGAGACTGGACAGATGAGTCCACCACGGTTACAGCGGAACATCAGTGATTATGTGTTACAATGGCGTTAGCAACCAGAAAATGACACCAGTAATGACAAACAGATGAGAATGCTGCGTGGGGTCTGGGTGCCGTGTTGGCGGGACGTTGCGGGGCTCGCTGCTGCGAGGAGCGGACAGTGTGAGCTGGCTTACTGGTGTGGTTTCCTGGTTGCTGCGTGGGGTCGGTGAGACAGCGAAACCCAGCCCGAAACCAGCCCGAGCACACACACACACACACACACACACACACACACACACACACACACACACACACACACACACACACACACACACACACACAATTGGTCCATTGGGTCGTCGTTACGTCACTTGGTTCCCGGAAGAAACAAATGGAAAAAGAAAAATCCCCAACGAGGCGTTCTGGGGCAGCAGGTCTTTTCTGTGTTAGAGTTGTACTCGCTACAGGGTGTACTTTGAAGGTTTTTGACTCTGCAGACCGTTTACATAAAAGGCTACATAACACACAAGGGGACAGGTAATAACCGGAAAAGTGTGACATGGGACCTTTAAAGCTTCTTGTTTTCACTCCTCCCTGTAAGAAAGCTTTATCAGTTTCCCCTTTCAGCACATTTCCAAAAATCATCAGCAACACATATTCACTTCCTGTTTGGCTCCCTGTGCGTGCATGTGGCCAAAGGAAGCTGAACTCAAATGGAGGTTATTTTGGAGAATGGTCTGTTGTACTTCAATATCTTTCCTGCTAGTTTCTCATGGCCTCTGCTACCATCTCTTCCTCTCTCCTCTTTCCCCACACTCAAAGCTTTTCCCACCTTGAGCTGACAACCATTTTCTGTGAAAGCTGCTTTACTGAAGAGCCAGGGGAATTAGGTGGTCATCTATTTAGTGTGAAGTAATGCTTGAAAACCATTTATTCGAGTTCACCCATTAAAAATCATGTCCCCCCTGCCACAAAGCACCAGGCGTGTCACTCTGCCCACTTGTTGTCACAGCTGGGTGACAGTGAGACAACAAACACAAAGGTGTCTTTAGCTTTCACAAACCATCAGACCCTCCCACAGTGCTTTCAAACGCCATAATGGCAGTAATAATGATTATAGGCTTGATTTATAAAGGCACTAATCACATTGTCTTCTAAAGCTTTTAGTAAACCGTTTCCATTGTCTAATGAACCATGTTTCACAAAGAAGAGCAAATGCCCTGTTTCTGTTTCCAAATTACTGGCAGA